CCCCCCCCCCCGGAATCCCTGATATTTCAGTAACACTTTCAGTTCTTAAACTCTGGGATTCGATGACAAGTGTGTAAATGACATGTTGTAAATTCCCCTTTCGTGGCAGGATTGCTCTAATTTTAAAAATGCAAGGTTCAGATATGCTCAACAGATCTGTTTGAGAGCAGGGATGGAAAGTAAACTCACCATCATGTTATACACCTACATGGCAAACCTGTGCGTGGACCCCTTGCAATAAAATAAAAAGTTGAAAAAGAAAGTACAAAGAGTGTGAAGCATATCTGGGTTTGGGAGAACACAAGTGCTTTGCTTTGGTGACCCACAAAGTAACGATTTTAGGAAACTGATTCAAAATCTTATGCAAATCAAATATTAGGAAGCAAATAATATTCCTAATACATTATGGATTTTTAGAGTCACTTTTGAAGTTTTCATGAACCAAGATAAACTTTAGTATTTGGATTTGATTCATACTTACCTAAGTCTTGAGTCTGTGCTGATACTGTCAGGTGCTTTCACATCCAAGATTTCAACACTTTATGACAGCATTATTTTATTAATTCCTGGTTACTGCTGGCCCACCTCTTCCATTTATCTTTAATATTTTATTCCACCATGAATGTCACCACAATATATTTTTTTTCTGCCTCAAAGTCTGATTTTATCACAGTCTCTATTCAAAAACTTTTAGTGGTTTGTTTTTCTCCTTTTTCCCTGTTTCTAAAACTTTGCATCCTCTCACCCAAACTCATTCAACTAACCTCATTTCTCATGACACGCAAGTGCAAGTACCACTCCCGTTGAGGTGGTGTAGTCAAAATCACATGTATTCCTGCTTCCAAGTCCTCATGGATGCTTTTGCATGGAATATCCTTCTTCATCTCCTCCTGTTCTTCCAACTTCATACACTCAACTGAACCTGTTCCTGATGTCCCTGCTGAAGATATGCCACTTCTACTAAGCCTTCCCTATCTCCACATTGTTCCCCTTTGTCTTCTCATAGCTCTAAAATCCTGCAATAGCATTCAGGTGCTTATCGCTTATCAGTTGTCATTTGCTCTCATATCTCATGTCTCTTGTCATTTGTTATGCCAAAAAATGTGTTCAAGAAATGTTTATTAAATGTCTAATGTCCACCAGGCGCCTTGATGGAAATCTGGGTAGAGCAAGACAAATGCAAACATCTCCCTTCTTTATTAAAATATTTTTCCTTCCCAATCCTTCTGCTTCTCTCCTTTAGTGACTAGAGGAATCATGTATGCACGAAGTGTACATGCATATTTGGCTTCCTGACATTGCCTCACAGCTCAGATGCTCCGTTCATTTTGTTTTTCAAGCTTTTATCTGTGTTTTCTTTTGGATAATTCCCATTTTCATGTTTTTTAGAATCTAGTATTCTTTCACTTTTATCTAGTTTATTCATCTCAGAAATTGTAGTTTTATCTCCAACAGTTTGAAGTTTGATTTATGTGTGTGTTTCCATGTCTTCACTCAACATGCTCAATCTTTCCTGTAGTTTCTTAAACATAAAATATAATTATAGTGATAATTTTAATGTCCTTGTCTACTCATTCTATCATCTATGCTACGTCTGGCACAGTTTCTATTGATAGATTTTTCTCTTCATTATGGTTCATAATTTCCTGCTTCTTGTATGCCTTGTGCTTTTTAAAACTAGATTGTAAGTCATTATGGAATTTATTTACTTGAAAACAGTTTGGTTTTTTTGAGGCTTTTTTTTAGGAAGGGGTGAAACCAGTTCAGTTTTCTGTGTGGGCCTGATTGTATCCCATACTAAGGCAATACCCTTCTCAATTCTTTACTCCAGGCTCCATGTGAATTATGTGATTTTTTTCTACTTTTATTTGCAGGAAGAGGAACTAGTCTTATGAACTGGGATTGTAGATTGTTTACTTTTTTCCAGGAGTGGTCCTTTTCCTGTCTTAATTTCTTAATGCATGTAATCATCATAAAATTTTAGAATTCCAGGAATAGGTAGAAGATCCTAAATGTTTTCAGAGAGAATAAAAAATTATATTCTGACTAAGTATGGTGGCTCATGCCTGCAATCTCAGCATTTTGGGAGGCTGAGGTGGGAGGATCACTTGAGCCCAGGAGTTCGAGACCAGCCTAGGCAACATATCAAGACCTTGTCTCTACAAAAAAAAAAAAAAATTATCCAGGTGGGCTGGCATGTAATCCCAGCTTCTTGGGAGGCTGAGGCAGGAGAATCATTTGATTCTAGGAGTTTCAGATTACAGTGAGCCTGATCATGCCACTGGACTTCATCCTGGGTGAAAGAATGAGACTCCTGACCAAAAAAAACACACCAAAAGTCATAGTCTAAGGATTAGAAATCAAAGCAGGATTGTACTTCTCAGCAGCACTGGAAGCTATAAATACCTAAATAAATAAATACAATTACTACAAATAAATAAAAACAATTAAATAAATAAATAAAGCTATAAATAAATAAAAACAATTACATTTTTGGAAAAAAAATGATTTCCAAGCTAGAATTTTATTAGTTTTCTGGGGTCAACAAATTGGGTGACTTAAAAAATAGGTATTTATTGTGTCATAGTTCTGGAGACTAGAATTCAGAAATCAAGGTGCCATGTTTCCTCTGAAACTGTAGGGAGTCTTCCCTTTTCTCTCTCTAGATTTCTGGTAGTTTGCTGGCATTATTTGGTGTTCCTTGGTTTGCAACTGCCTGCTAATCTCTGCCTTCATTGTCACATGGCATTTCCTCCAAGTATCTGTCTACACCTGGACGTCTTCTTATAAAAATACCAGTTATATTGAAGTAGGAGACCACACTGCCTCAGTATGATTTCATTTTAACTAATTACATCACAGTGGCCCTATTTCCATATAAGGTCACATTCTGAGATACTGGAGGTAGACTTCAGCATATATGTGTGTGTGTATACATACATACATATATATGTCTGCCATGTTTATATATACATATGTTTTACATAAAAAATATGACAGAGTGAGACTCTAACTTAAAATATATATATATATATATATGTTTTACAAATATGTGTGTGTGTGTGTGTGTGTGTGTGTGTGTGTGTGTGTGTGTGTATTTTTTTTAAGTTAGAGTCTCACTGTCTCCCAGGTTGGAGTGCAGTGGCATGATCACCATATGATGACTCAACCTCTCAACTTCCTGGACTCAAGTTGACACATAAGATCAACCACCACAATCGTGGAGGGAGGCCAAGGGTAGCAGACATGCAGCTGGCCTGCAGAGACACCCATTCACACTAGAGCAGGGCAGAAGAATAGGTGGGATGTCACCAAGAAAAAAAAATGAAATTCACACTTCACCAATCTGGGTGACCACATTGATAACTTCCAGTGGAGATTTTGGAGGGGTATTAGCCCATTTTGCCTTTCTATAATGGAATAATTTAGAAAGAAAAGAGGTATATCTGGCTCATGGTTCTGCAGGCCATACAAGAAGCATGGTGCTGGCATCTGCTTCTGGTGAGAACTCAGGAAGCTTCCAATCATGGCAGAAGGAGAAAGGGAGCTGACATGTCACGTGGCAAGAGAGAGTAAGATACCAGGCTTTTAAAAATCTTGAGGTAACTAAGAGTGAGAACTCATTCATTACTACGGGAACAGCACCTGTCATTCATGAGGGATTCGCCCACCATGACCCAAACACTTCCCGCTAGGCTAGGGTTGGCTACCTCCAACCCTAGGGATTTCATTTCAACACGAGATTTAGAGGGTACAAACATCCAAACCATATCAGGGGTGATAGCCATATAGAAAAAGAAGTAGATGGGAAGAAGTAAAGTAATTATTAACTCTCAAACCCCAAAAAGTTGTGTATGAAAGGGAATATAATGACAGGAAGATGGGTCAGCTGCACATGACATATCCAGTGACTTTTTTTTGGGGGGGGGGGTTCTAGAAACATTGGAATTCTTTTGTAGTTTTTAAAAATATATTTTTCCAGCTACCTGGAAGTCTGAAGCTGAAGGACCGCCTGAACCCTGCAGGTCGAGGGTGTCAGAGTAAGATTCCAACTCAAAAATACAAAAAGGCATTTTTATAAAAATAAATAACAATCTGAATATTAAGATAATATTTGATATATTTCATTTTAAAATCTTTAATTTATAGTTGCCTTATGTTCAACTTGAAATGTCTGCTCTTGGGCAAGATATTTTTCTTTAAAAGGTATAAGAGAACTTGAACAATTTGAATGTTTAAAAAGCACAGACTTATTAGGTTTAAAGTTGTATTTAATGATTAGACCGTTTGCATTTATTAGGTTTGCAGATCTGCTTTGTGTGATATTTGAATCTCATGGAGCAGTTATCATGCTATGGGTTTGCCACCCTCAATCAGATACTCACCCCTGGTTCAATCAAATGTGCCTGGTAGAGTCAAGGTGATGGTTAACCAACCGGGAGCTCTGCTGGGCTTGGAGGCAGAACATCTTCCCTTAGAAAGGGCCAGGGAGGCTGGGTGTGGTGGTTCACTCCTGTAATCCCAGCACTTTGGGAGGTTCAAGTGGTAGGATTGTTTGAATCCAGGATTTGAGATCAGTCTGGGCAACATAGCAAGACCTTGTCTCTACAAAAAAAATCTAGAAATTGGTGGGGGCATGGTGGCATGTGCCTGTAGTCCCAAATACTCGGGAGGATGAGGAGGGAGAATTGCCTGAGCCCAGGAGGCTGAGGCTGTGGTGAGCTGTGATTGTGCCTCTGCACTCCAGCCTGGACAACAGAGTAAACCTCTGACTCAAATTAAAAAAAGAAAAAGAAAAAGAGGAAGGAAGGAAAGACGGAAGGAAGGAATAGTGAGGCCATAGCAGTAATGTATTTGGCATGTGTAATATAGTCCATTACATACACATTTGGAAAAACATGTTTCAAATTCCTTCTGAGCAGCAGCCTGACATTATGGGTAAAGCACTGGACTAATTCAGAAGCTCTGGTTTCCTTTCATAGCTGAGCCACCATGTGATAGTGTGATCTTGAGAATTTCACGTTCTCACTCTAGACCTGTTTCCTTATCTGTCAAGACCACTGAATAATACCTGCTTGCACCAGGCATAGTGGTGCGTGCCTGTAGTCCTAGTTGCCAGGGAGGCAGAGCTGGGGGTATTGAGGTCAGGAGGTCCAGGCTGTATGTAGTAGCCACTGCACTGCACTATGGGCAAC